CTACTACTGTTACTACACCATCAGGTATTTACTATTATAATAACTGTTCCATTATGTATAATATCTATTAGTTGATACATCAGATACTACTACTAGTAATAATAGACCAACTGAAGCTACAGCTAGTACAACAGGAACAGGTATTATAACTACATGTATATTGATCAGTTGTGAACTGATATTGTGTGTAGGTACTTCTGATCTTGATATTGTTAAAGTAAAGGTTAAAGATATCTTAATGAAGAATCAAGTTGCTTTAAAGAGAGCTTTCAGTCTATCATTAGGTGATATATCAGATGAACTCCTTCAAGTTGGCATCATATCAAAATCAGTTCAAGAGTCACCATCTTATGATGACATCATTGGGTCTTTCCTAGCTGTCCTTACTTTCATACGCAGGCAGTCTGAGCTTAATAAAGAATGTGACACTTTTCTAACAGCATTATCTAATGTTGGGGGACCAGTAGCTCGTGCTGCTGGTATGTTAAGGGAAGATTGGGGACAAGCAATGAACATGTAACTTTATTATTATCGCACATGCACCTAATTAATATACATGACATATACATGTATGATTGTTTGTATACTCATGGATGTTACCTTTTATTTGATTTATTAATTAATGTACATAACTACATGTATGTGGGCCCTGCTCCTGTCCAGTTCCATTAGTGAATAGAGTTGAGAATATGAGACTGGCTAGTAATAGTTGGGAAAAGGGTAGCCTGTAGGTTAGGATAATAGTCATCACTGGTTCTTTACAACAGAGAGGTTTGAAATTGGTAAATGAGTAAATATGTGTTCATTTTAAAGGAGAGAGAGCTAATCCCTCCTTTTTCCGGTAACACTTTTTCATTACACCCACGTGTCACCTAAATTAACTAATTAATAAAAGGGCGTGGTCATTGGAAATGTCATCACGTGACAAGTGACAACAAACTTAACAAACAACACAAGAACAACCAGTCGTGACACCAACAGTACCAGAAGTCATAAGAGCCCGTATAATTTTATTGTAATACACTTGACAGTATGAATAATTAATGAGTTGCTACTTTATTTTATATTTATTTTTCATTTAATATTTTTACTATAAAATTTGCATACAATACACAGAACATACATATTTATCACCATAAAAAACATCAACCAGTTTAAATAAACTATAACAGAACTGCAAGCAACTGATGTCCTTGACTTTACTGGATGCGTACAGTGTTCTAGACAACTCCAGCTTCTTGTCCATTAGCTTACAACAAGATAGTAGCTAGAAAAATATACTCCAGAAGTTTAAAGTTGTTCCAGCAAGAAATAAGGATGCTATGGTCTCTGAAAGTCAATGGCACATAATATGACTATAATGACAAGTATAAAATCTAGCTCTAAAAGGATTTCAAACAATTCTATTGAGGTAAAATGACTTGATTAATGATCCTGAATGTGGAATCTGTAGAAAAAAGGAACAGAACAGTCAAAATATGGCATGAAAGAATGGACCATGCAGGCTAAATCTACATTATGGATGCAACTGTCGTTCTAGACAACAGTATCAAAACGAAACTTTGCATACACAAAGATCTACTAATAGGCCAGTTGCATACCTAATTCTGAGCTGTTCTGGCCAGTCCCAGTACTATTATATACCTAGATAGTGTACACCATTTTCCAAACAGCGACACTAACAAGCAAAATATACTTACATTTCAGACTGAAAACTAACCAATTGATTCTATATCTTTTTGCTTCAAGTTTGAGTTTGCTTCTTAGAGCTATAGACTACCCACCATCTTGTAAACTGCACAAAACTAAACACAGCTTTAGCCATCACTTGGCAGCCATTATGACGTCACTTGGAAAATAAAATTCACGTGAGCTTATCGTAACGTCGCGCCTACAACAATGGCTTCTTCTTTTAAAGGTTAGTATTCTCTCTCCCTTCCCTCCCTCTCTCCTCTTTCTCTTCCTTTCTCTCATCATTATTTCTTGTTACAGGTATTGGTATGATATTTGATCATTCAGCTCCTGTAGTAGGAGAATCTCTGTTTGTATGGGGAGGGAACAGGCCTGGCTATCCTGCAGTACATGAGTCTCCTCAAAAGATGAAGTTGTGCTCCACCATTGAGAGACTGGACTTTAGGACTGGTCGTTGGTCCTCTCACATGACCAGAGGAACGCCGTCACCTCCTC